GGCATGCATCATTGACACCTGAAACAATTAAATGTCTGATCTTCATACCTCAGACTGCCTATCTTGATGTATCAGATCAACTCTAGTTGGACTTAATTAAACTGATATAGACACCAGGCTACCGAAGGAGATTCTAAATTCAGGCATACTGCTAGGATATAAATAATGAATGGATGAGGTGTATTGCCCTTCAGAAAGGTGTGTGATTTTAGGATATCCTGCAAACAGACTATGCAGATCTAGATTTGAAGTGAAATGCCAAAATTCAACAAAATATTTTTTCCATTATATGTATTTATATCAAACGCAGTCAATAACACAACAATTTGTTAACTGGTCACAATCAAAAGGAATTTATTGACTGGTAGCTCAGCAAATAGGAGTAACATTCAAACTGGTCAGAGCCAAGAAATTCATTGACTAGTCACAGCAACTAGGAGTCCATTCAAACTGGTCAGAGCCTAGGAATTCATTGACTAGTCACAGCAACTAGGCGTCCATTCAAACTGGTCAGAGCCTAGGAATTCATTGACTAGTCACAGCAACTAGGAGTCCATTCAAACTGGTCAGAGCCTAGGAATTCATTGACTAGTCAATCCAACAAGTAATTAATTAACTGGTTAGAGCAGGTAGGGGTTATTTACAGACCAGAACAGTACTAATGGAATTCATTCACAAGTGAAAACTAGGAATTAATTTACTAACAATTCCAAATAAGGATTCATTGACTGGTCAGAACTGCAGCAGGAATTCATCATAGAGTGACTACTCCAACTATGGATACATTGGTCAGAGCTGATGAAAGGATTTGATTGAACAAAACAGCAGCTAGAATTCATTATTGAGTGACCACAACTGATGATTCATGAATGACCACAACTGATATTTCAAAGCCTGTGGTTAGTGCAGCTGTGGGTTCACTGAAAACAAAGACAAACCACTGCAAATGAAATTCTTTCACAAGCAAGAACAGGTATGAATTCTGTGTGTGTCCAGAACAACTCAAACTCACACATTTGCAAGAACAGTTAGGAATTGTTAGACAGCAAGTACAGTTAACTCGCCTATTGACAAGAACAGCTAGAAGTCCTTTGACTGATCTAAAGAGACTCACTGACTAACCAGAACAGCTTGAAATTCGCTGACAGACCTCTGCTCAAAAGCTATCATTCAAAGACTTGCAAGAACACACGAAGTAGACTTACAGCCATAATGCACGAATATCTACCCAAAATCTCCACTGTTTCACAATCAAGCCAATAAAGTTCAGTTCATGCTGTAAAAACAAAAATGTTGGCAGTTAAGAAAACCAAATCTCATCTCCATGTAGGTATCCAGAATTCAATGACAAGCACAAGTTTACAGCTAGAGGTACTGACCAGGTCAAAACCCATTAAAATTATCTGTAGCCAGATCAAAGACCCATTAAAAATGATCTGTGACCAGGTTAAAAATCAGTTACAAATTACTAACAACTGCAGCCAACTAGCCTGACAGAAAAACTATAAGGATTATTTACTGAGTGACATCCTGAACAACCAAGAGTTGCCAAAACTTCCAGGAACACATTGAGATCTGGTAAATAACTAGTATTTGACTGACCATAAATTGAACAACCATGAATATTATCAGTACTAAAAACAACAGGTTCCCCTGAACATCAAAAGCAAGAATCAAGATCCCTTAGCAATCAGAAGTGTTTTCAAATGTAATCAATCAGAAATTCATTAATAGCCAAGTGAGACAAAGAATATTGGTAGTAGTAATAGAACATGAAGGTTTCCTCCAGCAGGTTGCTGCACTGTTGCTTCATCTGTATACAAATTTCCGCAATATAACATCCACGCCATCCTACAGTGTGATGCATTCCCAATTTATATTTCAAATATAAAGGTACAGATCAATTCGTCAATAATTCTCAACAACAAAGCCATGGATCCTTTATAAACAAATGTTTGATAAATATTCATCTGCTCAATGACATGACAGCGCAAACTGCACCTGTTTGACAAAGTTGTGTTGCAACTGCATAGACATGTGGAGACTCTTAGTGTACCAACACGAGGGAATGAATCTGTAACTAAATTCATCATTCTTATTCGGGATTAACCTATCTCTAAAGAAGTATGAGACAGATTTTCAATTGAGAAGAACATTAATCAAAGTCTGAATGCCAAGACTGTCATATTGCCTATTGTAGCTTGTCCTGTAGTAGAACAGTCCTCACACAAACACCATGCAGGAAAGAGACAGAACGAAAATTATTAGGATAAGATGATAAGCTAAACACATCCAATATCAGCTTGTTCCTGTTAAAGTTATAATGATATTTTTATTCATTTTAGCATGAAATGTCAACAGCTTTATATATTTGGGAGACATATTTGAAAAGAAAGGATCAGAAATCTGACGTCACAGACTGTCAAGAGTAAACACCTGGTTGCTACCGACACAATTTCACACAAGAATCAATTATGAAAATGTCAGGCCATTGATGAATGGAGAGGTAATGAAAAGCACATAGATCACGATAGAAATAATCTTGGCCAAACAAACACAAATACATTCTATAAAGCTGTACATAAAATTGGTCAGCTTAACAGGATCAACCTACATGTTTATAAAATTCTTAAATTATGAAACAGAAACTTTTACCAAAATTACTCTTGAATTTATTTTTTGGAATATAACTGATATATATAGTACAATGTATTATGTTTACTACTTGAGGTATTTAATCCTTGAATTTCGTTTCAAGCTTGTTGTTTCAATTACAACTAGGAATTAAGGAGAAAGGAACCCAGTTATGCATTGCAGTGATAAGCTACTATTGTCAGATATTGCTACAACTTAGGTCCAAATATTTTGTCACTGGTATATCATGTTGAGTAACTTCCAATTTCATACAAAACTAATCAATCTCCTGAATATTTCAGGTCAAGTCCTTCTTAAAACAAAAACAAAAAAACTTGTATTCAAGTAATATTTGCCTGTCTGAAAATGACATGAAAGAATTTATCACCATTTTAATTATATACTTATCAGGGTAATTAACACCAACATCTTGACGGAGATTTCTGGGTTTTTTTTTCATTATGTTATAATGAGAACAGGTTCATAACATATACAAGTATGCAAATCTATATTTTGATGAAACCTCTTACATTATTTCACAATTTAAGTCAGCTTGTCTGTGTGAAAAAAAATATTTATGTCATGATTTGTAATCGATTGTGGTGATGTGAAACACGGAATACTCAAAGTCGCATTCCTTTGTTTGAACACTACCCTATCATTTTGCTAATTTATACCTAAAAAAGGATCACACTTCATATAAATAATGATATTTTGAGCATGGAAATGTATTGAAAATATGTGTAGCATGTCCAAACACTGTCCATAATTGTGCTGGTTATATATATACTTTGGGTCAAATGAAGAATTAAATAAAACTTCGGGATGTTTTGAGACTTTGACTGCTCTACTGATGTAGAGTTATTCACTTTTTCCATTAAGTATCATTTTTAAAAACTAATTTCATTTTACCAATGGAATGCCCCTTTAAACTTAATTTTCCATTTCCAACCATACACTCAGTATGTTTGTCACGTATTCTATGAACTTTCCTGTGAGGTCTGGTATCAATTAGTTATAAAGTTATAGACCATTGTCCACAGCTTCAGGGAGATCTATCCTGACTTATCTTTCAAACTTGCATATAACTTCTAATCAAAGTAATGGATATTGTATAGATGTATGACAAGAGATCTTGCTAATCACAAAATGGTACTATCATTGACGAAAAATTAATTCATAGACTGATGCCTAAATTGCTTACTCTTTCATTCAGTCCAGACTGAAATAAAACCATAAACTTGACAACATCTTCATAGACTTAAAGCATGTACAATTGCAAACACAACCCTAGCACTCAAAAACCCCATCAAAATACATCTGAAGTCCTAATTCCTCTAGCTCACCTGAAAAACACTGAATATATCATACCTGGCTTTTATAGAGTGTATATGACTTCCTGTCTTGTGTTTGTAAATGGTTCATGTAGCAAGTATGCCAAGTGCTTGTAGTTCATAGCTTAATGGTGTCTTTGTACTGCCTGGATAATTTGATGTTAATGAAAAAAGCTTGATGCAGAATAAAACAGCATTGATTTCCCGCTGTGATATCCATGCATTTCTGTGACATACTTTGTCCTATATAACCTTCAGCCAATCATGAAATAATGTCATACAACAAACAGCCAATCAGAAAATATCACACAACCTACAGCCAATCAAAAAACATTATCACACAACCTCAAGCTAATCAAAAAAGGGCCATCAGAGACGGGTTATTCTCCCCAAAAGGAACAAAATTAAAGTATGAAAAATAAGAAAAGGCAATAAGAGAGTTATGCTTCTTGTGCAACGCCCTCTTTCTCATCGAGATCTATCTCCCTATAAAGTTTCATGCTGATACCTCTTATAGTCTTAGTGTAATGCACTGGACAAAATTTAGGTATGAAAAATAACATAGGGCAGTAACTCCTGAATCATGCCAAAGAGAGTGATGGTTCTTGTGCACAGAACTTTTCCTTGTTGAGATTTGACTACCTATGAAGTTTCATGTTGATACCTCTAACAGTTTTAGTGTAATGCTCCAGACAAAATTTAAGTATTGAAAATAATAAAGGGCAATAATTGCTATATCATGCCAAAGAAAGTGATGGTTCTTATGCATTGCACTTCTCCTTGTTGTGATCTATCTACCTATGAAGGTTTTTGTTGATATCTCTTATAGTTTTTGTGTTATATTCAGGACAAAATTATGCAGATGGACAAAAGGAAGGATGGACAAAGTGGCGACTACATGCTCTCCCTTTTGGGGAGCATAAAAATATTGTCACACAACCTACAAAAAAACAAAAAAATTCTCCAGCAACAGAAAAAAAGCAAGAGACAAAAAATATGTTTGAATGATGAACAATTGATCAGATAACTCACCTCTGGGTATAACGTAAAAAAGGCACAATCATCCAAGATTTCTTCATACAGCATCTGAACTGTAACAACAAGACAGGCAAACTTCAAATATACAAGTAAGACATGACAATGAATTACCAGAACAATAAAGGGCTAGGTTTGATGTGTGTAGGAGAGAAGCAAAAGTCTATATTACAAATAAACAGTTTCTAGAGAATCAGTTTTCAATTTTTATACAATTATCTAATTGAATATTTCTGGTTTTATGACAATTTAATGTGTTATGTTATAAACTTGTAGAGTATAAAAACATGAATTAAGGATATTTAAAAACACACTTCTCAGTATAGAGGGGAATACTTCAGATTAAGAACGTGACTTAGTACCCTAAGTGCGTTTGAGTTTGGATAGACAATACAAAGTGCAGACAATCTATTTGCTAATGTTCGAACACGTACGCATGGAAGTTAAATAATGACTCTCTGTACGTGTCATGAACATCATACATACATCGCCTACAGTAAACATTATCTCGCTAACCTTTCTGTATTGTTCTTACAAGTACAGTGTGATATTTTTGAACTGCATAGAAAAGAGCAAGCAAACAATTTTCAATTAGGACATAATGGGGAAATGTGATCCATAAGCCTCAATTTAGATTTATAGTCAACAAATAAGCCAGCCTATTACCAATGGATTTCTGCCCACCTTTAATATTTTTCAATCATTAGGTTTCAATGTTCTCTATACATTACCTCTGATTAGTAAAAATAAAAATCGATTTGGCAGTATTTAAGTCTGTACACCTTACAGACCAGGGGGCTGTGTTGGCACCTTTCAACAATAAAATCACCTCTTTGTAAAGAGGGTAATTGGAGAAAGAGTAGTTATATTTACACAGACCCTTACTTATGGTCCTGTGAATAATAAGGCCAGATGATTTGTCATGTTTCCCACTCTATATCACAAGATCACATCTGATTTTAAACTCCAAGCTAGTGAATCAAAATTTTTTATTTTAACAGATTCTGAAACAAAAATTAAGCTTGATGCTAAGATCCTTGTTTAATCATCAACAGCTAATTGATGATAATGATACACAAGTTTTCAATAAAACAAGAGAGTAAACAGACTTCTAGTGCTTGGTGTAATTTATTCTTGAGTGCTGGTTCTGGACAAAGAGAGCGGAGTGTTCACACTTTTGACCGTTAAATGACCAAGGTAAATCAACAATGTAAATATTCTGATAGGACTATCATCTCCGTTACATCTCATCGAGGATATTGCTACTCAAAATCTTTTGAGAACATGTTGAAACTTCTCCAACCTAAAGGTGATAAACATTTGTAGCGCTTTCATCATATCAACAAAAGATTTTCAACTGAAAACTTAGAATATAGGATACAAAATTTACAGGCTTAAAATTTGATAACAGATTTCAAACAGTGGGCTTGTTTGCTCTTTTTTTTTTTTAACTTAAAGATTTTTAAAAATATTTCAAGGTTTACAGTTATATTTTTACATGTACAAACCTGGGATAAGTTAATTGTGTTTTTATTAGTTTACCATAATAAATAGTGGCAACAACTCCAAACCACAAAGAATTCCAGAGGTGGTTTGTCCATGTTGACATTCATGGTGAGCGATTTGATCTCTCATGTTGTCACTAAACTTTAACAGTGTAAACCTTACACAGGTGACGCATCATTAGGGATTTAACTGTCATTGAGAGGGCGAAACAAGGTAACCCTATACAATGTTAAACATAGCTATTGTGTGTCTAAAACAATCATCAACCAATTGTTTTCCTCACCCCACCCTCACACTCTTCCGTACTGCTGGTTAGCAATTACTGTACTACAAAGTCCTATTATGTATGGTTGTAACCTGTCAAATTACACTTGAATGGTATGAGGTGTTAAATTTTCCCAAAAGTTGCAAACGTTTAAAATCTAGAATAACAACTGTACAAATATTAAATCTAAGTTAATTAATCTATTATGATCTTTTTTTTACTGTTTTCTTAAACACTAGATCAAAACATTCTCATAAAATAAATTTTACAATCAAATACCCTACTCGGCTTCTGTTTGATGATCTCTCAGAACTCTCCCATGTTTGAACAACATGTACATGTAGATAAAATTGATTATGTTATTCTGAAGAACCCTACAAACCTTGTAGGCATCCATAGGTCAGTCAACCTTTATCTGTATATACAAATTACAGTTCTTATTGTAGGAGTGGTCCCACCCAGTCCATCATTACTTGACACGCTTCATTTAAATGTTTGACACAATGTTGACAAACATCCAGGTTTAAAATTGAAATCAAACTTTCAATTATCAGTAAATCAGACACCTGTTGCATTTCATTTTGGGACTAAAGTTGGCCAAAGTAATTGTTTATTTTTTACCAGATAAATAAAACATAAGAAATATTATAAATTCCATCAAACAATCAGTAATAGAACAAAGGACAACTTAAGGCAAAAAAACCTAAAACAATTATATAATAGACTTGCAGTGGCCTCTCATGTAATTTGTGCTTGATCATAGTTCATGGCCCTCTATGTACAGTACACATACATTTACACCTATATTACCTTTTATATATATAAATACATTCTATTGTAGAAACAATGACCTTTGTTAACTTTGGATCTTTTCTAACATTTGCTTTTAATGGTGCTCCATTAATTATAAATCTGCATTCTAAAATTGTCTCTACATGGAAATTAAAGAGTAAATGGCAGACAGACCCTGATGTAGTATTGGTATTCCATTTAGTATCTTGGATACAGAGCCCAACTGATAAAATGATTTTCATTTTATATAGTAACAATGTTAATGTGTTTCCAATACTTTTCTGGTGACAGTAACAGTCAATACACAGCTATCTCCAACTCCTTGACACTAACATGAGAAAACCTATTCTGACATCTTACACTTAAAATGAACAAAAAAAAAAAAAAAAATGATGTACGACAGTGAAGAATACAAAAAACAAGATCAACAAAATTGTAATGATTAAAGGTTTGGGGTCTGGGATTCCAATAGTGATTATTAAATCAATAGTCTGGAACTCATAAAGGTCTTTGATGTTATGGCAAGCAAGTTGTATAATCAGTGTTGGCTTGGTCATTTGTTGGCTATAAGAATTGATCTGTACCAGCTAGAGCTATCATAATAGATATGGCCTGGCCATATATCTCTTGTCTGTCTTATCACACACTTCTCTCACAAACATCAAACTAACGACATCAAGATTTCATCATACACTGATACAGATACTGAACTTTAAAACTTAAGTATTAAGCTGGACTGATCTTGACTATATATATATAACAGTGAATACTTATAACATCTTTTTATAATTAACTACTTTACAAAAATTGTCTAAATTGACTAAACTAATCTGTATATATTTTAATGAGTCAGTAATTAACAATAATAAAGACTATCCCACTAAAAAGTTAGTTGTTTAGCAAAGTTAAAAATTTGTCCTGAGTTGTAAGATATATGTCACAGCATATATACCTTTAAAAAACATGGCAGACACGTGAGTAAAACCTGTACCCTATCTACAAAAAAAATAATGTGACTGTAAATTGATTTAAACATGGTCACTTTGTTCTGTGGATTACAGTCAGATATCTAATAACATCCACATACATGCGTTAGTGTAAACAATAATGTTAAGCAGAATTACAATCACAATCCCAACTTTTTAGTCAAAATGTTGAAGTTGGTTAGGACATCGGAACCATGTCCATCTCGAGTATCAATATCAAGTGATAATTTCACATTTTTTTTCACACCCATATGTCAGTACTTAGTGAAGATTGTAGAATGTAAATATGATGAAAATAAAAGACACTATTGATCCTGGGCCTCACAATGTGTGAAAGACTGACTTATTGATATTTAACACAGATACCCATCATTCTACAGGTTCAATATGAATGTATTTACAACTACATTCTCTTTCATGTCCAGTTGACCAATAAGGCATTCATTACATGCTTGACTGAGCTATAAAAGGATGATCGACCATTTCGATATCACTGATCTAGTTGATAGATTAAATATCTGCTGAGTGTCAATCAGAATTTTTGTCATGATAAACCTCACAGGGTTTTTTTTTTATATGAAGGACATTAAAGACTGCTTTTATAGATATGGAACTTTCTGAAATTTGGTTATGAAAATTTCTTCTGAAGGCTTCTTTGATAAAATGTGTTTGGTTAACCAATTATTACAGGCAATTTATGCCTTAAGATACTAAACAGTACACATTATGTGTTCACTAATCTTATGCTAAGAGATATACTAAATAGTATATATTATGTGTTCACTAATCTCGACAAAATTGTGCATCCACATCTTTGCAGTGTATTGACTATTTTAGGATTGTATCTGCATTAAAATGGATTAGACCTTTCTATGTTCTATTCAAAAATTCAAAGCCATCCAATATTTGAATTTTAATGCCTGCACTGTGAAAGTAGGTGCCAGTGACAACACTCCCTGATACTTAAAATCATTGAAAATTTGCATTTAATTTACATAAACCTGGATAATTTCTTTCAAATATTCACAACATGTATATATATATATATAGGTCTGACTGTTGACCCCCCAATCTTAAGTCCTATTGTCGTTGTCAATAAAAGCCTACAGCACACCTATAAGTAACATTGAGAACTTTCACATTCACCAAGGAAAGTACAAAGGATGCACCAATGTGTTACAGGCGGTGACAATAACTAGGTGTTGTGGTATTTAAGCTGGTATGATGTAAGCCTGACTTAGCCTGGGTCAATGTTCTGTGTCTAAGATTGTCTGACCCCTGTCACGTTTACAGACAGTTACGTATAATGATGTGTAATGGTGGGGTTTTTCTGTAATATCTATAGTAATTGTTACATGCTCTCTAACAATGGACACACCAACAAGATATTGCCAAGAATAGTAGTACCTTAATTGATACTAATGCACTTAGCAAAAGAACTCTCGTATGTAACTTCTCAAGCCCAGAATGTAATCAAGGAGTACGTAGGTCTTGAACATATTTGTAAGAAGTACAATCTTTACATATGTTTGCTATGAATCCAACCAATACCCTCACTTCATGTCAGAAGTATACTCAATGCAAAGAGATTACATTTAATACATTACCTGACTGTTGCCCATTGAAATGATGGCCTAATTTAATTTTGTGTATATGTTACTAGTATGATAAACAAAATAATTGCCTCCATCTGATTTTGTCAGTCAGGTTTACTTAAAAACCTGTCAACATATAACTTCTCTGATTTACGTGATAAGAAGTTTTTTTTACTTTGTTTTCATTTCATGTGAATTTTTATGGAGTTTAAGTTTTAATTTTTCCTTGCCAAGGCTTGCAAAAGTAAAAACCTAAAACTTGACTCTTAAAAAAACACTGCTCAGCAAATCATAAAACAGTAAATAAAACGTCTGTAATTTGAGTGCAGCGAATTTGGCAGAAAGCATTTTTCTTAGGTAGTGAGTGTTCTCATAGTTGACATGACTGTATTTGCACATGCACCTGGAAACAAATGATGATTGTAATGGTGAAGTAAACACTGCTCATGATGTTAATGAAACGTTTTGAAACCAATGACAAAGTTATTCAGTGGAGAAGGGAAAACACAACTTTACACTGGCTTTTCTATACAGGAACCTAATACTCTCTACCTATTATAATTGGTTATCACCATCCAAACAGTCACAGCTAATTAATTTTTACATTTCATTTCATCTCTTGAATATATGTATTTCCCATTTAAGGTGTGTGTAAAGATAAAATGTCATTAAAGTTGAAATATTTTAAGTGGTTTTGTTTTGGTGACAGGTAATATTAGTAAAAAATGATGCTAGTATCTAAAAAAAAAAAAATTTACAGCTAAGGGCATAATTTTCTAGAAACCGTTTAGAAATGATAAACTAAATGATATCAATTTCCTGTCCATTAGCAAAGGTAGTGTCTGTAAGTCTTCAAATGAATTGATCAAACTTGTCCTTTACATCTTCCTTAGTATATGCAATGTTCTGCCATTTAATATATTTTTACAAATCATTTTAGCACTAACTGAAGCATTACTTATGTCTAATTTTAATATTACTAGCTTGCAAATTCCATGAAACCTACCAAACTCTGACATATTTATGATGACCAAGACCATCAATGACAGAGGACTGAGTATCAAGACTGAACTCTTGGCACTGAGCAGCATTAAGTCAATACAATCCAACTACTGATATTCAGTCCATATAAATAGTCTTGTAAGTATTAGTATTAATGGTAGTCATTACGTTTAATTGATCTGAGCACCAGCTTTATAAAGGTGTTCTACCAGTTTATGGGTGTCCTGAATGAACATAAATTACATTTACTTGATACCTGCATCAAGGGACATGTGTTACACGAGGCATCATATACATTTAATTTCTCCCACTATGGATTGACGAGTTGAATGTTTTGTCCACTTACTCCCTGTTGTTTGTTCCAAGGATTTTTTGCCTTAGTCATTGATTCATAATGCAATCATTGGTAATATGAATAATTAATACAAATTCATATTATACGGACTTGGCACTTTTTGACCTCACAGGCTTCAACATACACATCAAAATATCAAAGTTAATTAAACTTCATAATAAATCTCATGCCTCTGGTCACTTTAAGACAACATTATGGTCACTTCAGACAGGTTGTCATATTCTAACATTATGGTCACTTCAGACAGGTTGTCATATTCTAACATTGTTGTCATTTTAGACAGGTTGTCAAACTGGAACATTCAAGTCACTTTAGACAGGTTGTCAAACTGGAACATTCAAGTCACTTTAGACAGGTTATCAAACTGGAACATTCAAGTCACTTTAGACAGGTTATCAAACTGGAACATTCAAGTCACTTTAGACAGGTTATCAAACTCTAGCATAGTGGTCAGTTAAGACAGGTTATCAAACTGGAACATTCAAGTCACTTTAGACAGGTTACAGGAACATTGTCACTTTAACAGGTTATCAAACAACATCAAGTCGACAGGTTATCAAACTCTAATATTAAGACAGGTTATCAATCCCTGAAATTAAAGTCATTTTAGACAGGTTGTCAAACTCAAACATACAAGTCACTTGATACAGGTTGTCAAACTCAAACATCAAAGTCATTTTAGTCACTTTATACAGGTTGTCAAACTCTAATATACAAGTCACTTTATACAGGTTGTCAAACTCCAACATCAAAGTCACTCTAAACAGGCTATCAAACCCTAAAATCAAAGTCATTTTAGACAGGTTATCAAACTCTAACATTAAAGTCATTTTAGACAGGTTATCAAACTAGAACATTAAAGTCACTTGAGATAAAATGTAGGAAGTTTCATTTGACATTTAACAGATTGTCATTTGTCAAATACTTTTTTGCAATGGATTCTGAACAGTTCTAAAAGATTCTGACCATAACTGCCAATGAGCATTATAGAATGACTTTAACTTCTCATTATATACCAATAAATATAACCACAATCTGAAAGTATTGTAAGTAATCCTCATGTATCAGTACATTTTTAATAACGGATATTTAGTCAATACTTACATTTTAAAGCTTTGAAGGCTAGCTCAAAAGACAGTCTCTTTTCTCCATCATCCTGGAAATTTAGTTCTGGTATGTCCTGCACTTTACTTTTTAGTGCATCATGATTCCTTCGTTTAAGATAAGGATTTTCTCTCACATCCTTACTGTCATGTTTAAGAGCAGAAAACACTTTTGCAGCCTTCAAATAGCACTGGTGACTATACAGACAAGGTTCCTTCTTGAAAAATCGTGCTCGAAGTTCTGGATCAAGGTCCAAATGATCATCATCCACACCATTTTCCTCGTCCTCTTTACCACCAGGAATCCTGACAGAATCTACAGACATTTTGCTCCTCATTCTATTATCCTCCTTCACAGGTACATTGTTTGGAGCAGTCTGGAAGCTGCCTGAGCTAGCTTGCTGAGCAAACCTCTGACTACTGCTCGAATGTGTCCGACTCACTGAAGAGTAGTTGTAAGTTTCAGCTGTTGGTGACATACTAATGTTTTGATGATGTATAATCTAGTGAGTTGGGCAGTTCCGTCTCCACGAGTTCGGCTTATGATTCCAGAACAGTGACATATGATTGGTTCTGCTCATCTATGGGAGCTGTCAATCACACTGAAGAGGGTCTGACCCGCAGGTTACGATACAATCTCTCAGGTGATGGTATGCCCAGCTCCTGTTATAACTCTAGTGGGCCTCTATCAATCCCCAGTGACTTATTGCTTTCTGTAAAGAGAAATTACCTGAGCGAGTTAAATCACACAGCTGACTGCCAGGTATCAGAGTGTTAACATTAAGGTAGTATGCAAACACTCCTATGCTACTGGCCACCTGACTTCATCAAACTTTCAGGATCAATCATTCTACCTCAGCTCTTATATACACCAAGGTTTCCAGCGGATTGAATCACATTACCCATTCTCATAGGCCCTGTGTTGCCTTACCAGTACAATAAACAATCAACAAGGAACACAGGATGAATGTTACCTCCCTCACAGGTAAAAACCTGATACAGATTAACACAGAAAAGGTCATTCTAAGACCCATTGTGTGGTTAAGCTTCGGTCAGATAAAACAGTCATTGACGGGAATTTAATCTCAAGTCTTATGAATGAAAACAAGTAGCTCTGTTACACCCACTGACACTGTTCTTAAACATGAGATCATAATTCCTTAAACTCTAATTACGAAAACAAAAATATTAAATCATTACGGATAAAAGTTATACATAGTATTTACTTATTGGCTTTCCTCTTTTAATTGATAGGGCTGAAATTCTTATATCATCGGAAACTCCACGAAAAAAATTCTCATAGTTTAAGATAGAAATGACCATTCATTGCATACCACACAAAGTATCCTCTTGACCCTTTGATGAAATAAAAAAAAACACACATGTACCTTTTGGATGTTGGCTCTCCAATTTCATATTGGAAACAGAAAACTTTAAACAAACTATGACAGTGTTTAAGAGAGAACATTCCAATTTTGGGAGTTAAGAGATAGTTGAAAATTGTAATAGTTATAACAATTGTATCTGGCTGGGAAACAGTGCTGGTCACCAATTTCCAATGGAAGTCCCTTTGTGTTTTTTACTTTTTCGCAGTCTTACAATCTATATTCAATACAAAAAAAAAAAACAAAAAAAATGATGATGACAGATCATTCATATGTGTTGTGCTGGGATAATGATACAATACTTTTAATCAAATGACACCATGAAAGCTTACTCAACTTGCATTAAAGGAGCTGAAAAAAAAACAACTTTTCAGCTTTCCCTTTCTCATACAATAATATGATAATAATTCATTCCATCCTCTTTTATTGGTGAAAATACACTTGCTGTTGAGATATTTAGTCCCGACTAGAATCTAGTAAACCCTGCTAAGCCTTATACCTAATCATAAAGGCAGATATACAATAGTACGGACCAATTAAAGGGGTTTTAAAATGCCACCATTTCATATTAAAAGCAATAAAGCACTGTTACATTATTCGTATATGAACAGATTAATCCAAATACCAGAATACTGAATGGCGTATCTATTATAAATATATATTTGATGGCATAATAAAATACTTTTTGCAGAACAAAATACTGCATGGAGGATGATTGAATGGTGTATCTATCTACAGAAATATATCAAATAGCATAATAAAATACTTTTTTCAGAACAAAATACTGCATGGTGTTTGATTGAATGGTGTATCTATCGACAAAAATATATTAAATAGCACAATAAAATACTTAAGCCTTTCAGTTGACATACCATTCAAATAAAATTATTCACAAATTCTGAAGGTCATAAAAATGATTCTAAAGTTATCTGGTAAACAGATATAAAAAGAAAACAGGATATCTTTTCATGCAGTAAAATGCCCCAGAACACTTCCCAGCCCACCAGTTGCAAACTTATAACATTGTTAGAAACAGGTAATAAAACTGACAGTATTGCATTGTACACAACAATCATCTAGAATTTTTTAACGTCATATAGGTCGTTAATGCTGATGCTTTCCCATGTTTGCCTAACACCACACTAATAGCAATTAGTTTTAGAGTATAGGGTGGTTGAGAGTTTATTGTCAGTATTTCAACACTGCAAATCACTTACAAAAATCGATAGAAAAATAATCACCTATATGCTATGTGGAGGTCAAGTACAGTGGCTGCTTTTGTGCAATTTCTAAAAAGGCAATGCACAATCCAAATTTATGAGTGGGACTTCTAAGACCACACATGAATGCTGCCAACACAATCTAAAGCTTGAACAATTATTTTTAAAGGGGTCCTAACAAGTTTGCCTTAATCTAGAGTAAAACTTACTTTCACATGGAAGATGCAAGATATGAAATCATCAGAAATATTTGTTTGTTTGGAGGGCCATCCATGTTGTAACTGATGGCTACCTCACTGAGCATCATGTCGGAAGCCTGTTGAATACCATCCAGTGCAACTGGGAGAGTGTCTTGACCATGAAGGACACAAGCTCATGATCTAAGCTTCCTTCAAGCTTCAAATCACTGCATGTAGGGATCAAACCACACACCACCATCCACATCACATAGGTTACTTTAGTCTAACATGCTGCCAATGAAGCTATTACAACTCTTTTGGATGTTGATAGCTTGATAAACTTCCTGATATTTACAAACTAGTGTTAAAACATTCTAACATTAATGCATTGTTCTTGACGATAGGGCTACATACATATCTATTATGGTTGACGAGTTTCACTAGTATTATTAATGGAGCTTTACCCTTTCGGTGCCGTAGGCGACTAAAGTCAACATGCAGACAGGCCGCCGTAGGCGACTAAAGTCGACATGCAGACAGGCCACTGTAGGCGACTTTGGTCGACAATTTTTATATCTTTATTATTAGCCAAGATATGCTTGTTTCAATTATGTTGCCTTTGTTTTCGGATATTTTCCGGAAAATATTTGGCGCTGAGCTGTATATTGTAAGAGATATTTGGCGCTGAGCTGTACATTGTAAGAGATAATTGGTGTTGAGCTGTACATTGTCAGAGATAATTGGCGCCGAATTGTAACCAAGATCAACATATTTACTGTGGGGTAAACCACCAAACAATAATCATGCTGATGTGTATTGACTCATAATCTCAAATATATTTGAACAAAATTATTTTCACAAAATACTATACCTTATTTGGTATGATACTGCTGTATGATTTAGTTTGTGCAATATCTTACAATGAAAAATTTAAAAACCATCCGACCTTTTGTCAGCCTAAGAGAATTAGGAGACAGGCCAACAACAAGCTGGTTTCAACACAGTCTAATGTACCAGATGACCCATAGATTTCATCATCAGTGACAGGACTATTAGTATATGGCAAAAAGATAGTATTGATTTGTCAGCACATCATTCAGCTATTATTAAAATATCATGTCTGAGAAACAGATTCTGTAACTAGACATCTGAATTGCAATATGACAGATTATCAGAGTTCAACCTTTTGTTGGAATCCAACAGATGACCAGAAGCCAGGAACGACTGCCAGGTTATCTGTACTCCTGTAGGTTTACACTGATTGACTTGTTAAAAAGAAATATGAAAAACAACTTACTCACCACCCGACCACTTTATACACCTATACAGGGTGACACAACCAATACTCAATTCCTCAATGTGACTCCAGTTCTCCTCTGCAGGGGACAAAGTGGGGCTCCCTCGACAGGCTGATCCCCATCCCACAACACTTAACAGGTATCAGCAATTCATATACTTCCTAAACAGCACTATCTTCAAATTAAGTATACAAACTTATCAATCTATTTAGTCGTATACTAAACATTTGATAACTTCACAATCTCCCAAACAAACTCTCTAATATGTCAACAACCAAAAGTGGAAATTCAAAACTACTCATCATGATTCATTTGTAGACATTTTAATCTCCAACAATGTCTGATCATGTTAACATTCTGATCATTTCTCTAATAAACAGGACCATTTATATAGGAGGACAAACATAATTGTCATGTAAAACTTATCACATTCTCTTCTCTTGGCCAATCAAAATGTTGTAGATTTCACAGACAAGTATATACATTTCCCCAATTATAAATTTACCAAAACATGCCATACTATTATCACATAACAAATTATGCAAATTTATCTTTATAAAACTTATAGAGACAAAATTCTATATTAATTTCAAATCTGATATTTTAACCCAATTAATGTTTCTTTAGGTTTCATGAGGAACCTTGGCATGACATTCAGCCCTATCTAAGAATTGTTTAGTTCAATGGGTAGATCACCAGACTTTACAATCTAAAATCTTTAGTCTCCCAGACGTTGTTCAGGTTAGTTAAGCTACAAGGCACTTTAAGGAGGCCCTACCTCAAAATGACCCTGTCTGTTGACGAGGCTATACACCCAGCATACAAGCAAATGTTATACAGTTAATTTCAATCTTCTTATCTGTGGCAACTACAGTAACTCCAAACTGACACAAAAGAAATAATTTCACAACCTTGACTGAAATAAAAATGTAGTGAGTTGATTTTAAGATTTAAGGCTTTTTATACTTTTCTTTTCACTTCCCAAATATGGTGCATACTGTATTTGTTACCTAAAAAGGTTTGCTGTATTTTGTTGCATTTGGCAATGTTTTATTTTACTAAACATTACAGCAAAAGTGTAAAGAAAATGAGTTTATCAAGATGTTGGTATAATCTACCAGAGTGTGTCAAATTGGGGTTCTGAATCCGATTCCAGAATCCTCAGTCTATACCCTATCACCTCTGGCTCTGGTAGAAAATCCATCTCCCACATACATGATATTTTCCGATAGCTAGCGAGTCCCCTGGCCAACACAAAACTTGATCCAGAGTTCAAGGGTTACAGGCTTATAGTATGACAAAAATTGTATACCCACCTTAATTGAACAGCATTACTGGGCTTTTTACTATACTATGTACAATTGTTGTGTATAGGCATTCTGCAGGATGAACACAAT